ATTACAAAGTGTAATTGACTTGATGCTGTACTCTGTTTGAAAAGTAGGGAGTAAAACTGCTGAATGGCTCAGTATGGAGTGGGAAGCAGGTGAGCAGGCAGGTATGGAAGGTCAGGTGACTGAGCTAGAAAGCATAAAGCCTACCGCTGCATAGCAGGTTATCTGTACAGACCTTTTTTATTTATTTATTTTTTCAAAACTGGCCAACAGTAAAATAACAGCATGGTGTGAAGACTGCATACAAAGTATGCAGGTTTATTAAGCACAATCTTCACCAGCACACCACCTGCCTTGTTTTCCAGATGGATGGCGTGCCACACACCTACAAATAGAAGTTCCCTATAGTTATTTCAGAAGCAGTTCCTTACTAATAAATAACATGAAATGACTTTGTTGGAAATATAAAAAAAAAGGATATTGGCAGTGCTTCGTGTTTGAAGGCAGAATCTGTGGAATAATACATCCATCTGATAGCAGTATAAATCACCACAGATGCTCGAAGCTTCTGTTTCCATCTGAAAAAGGTGAAGGTTTCTTACAGCCTGCCAGTGGCTCATTTCCAATCTCCACCCTAAGGGCCCAATCAGTAAACCCTCACAGACTTAACTGAAGTCACCTGGTAAATGATTGAGTGCCACAGGCTGCACGAGCTTGAGAAAGTGTAAACAGAGATCAGGCAGTATTTGTTGACATGTACAGTTTTAAGAAAAATCCCGTTGGCTCATATCTGATTAAACAATATATGACTTTCATCATCTTGCCATCACAAGAAAAGCAACTGCACACAATTAAAGCTATAACATTGCTTCATAGTTCCATCTTCCTTTTCCTTGTAATGCAGTGGAGTGGCTGATTATGCCCTTGTTTGTTTACTGTTTAATTCTCCCAGGCTTTCCCTGGTAAACGTTTAAAGTCACAGCGCTATGAACTGTGGGTAATTCCCTCAGGCAAAGTCTGTAGAAACGCAGACTTGTTGAACAGGAAAGTGTGCATAAAGGGCTTAAAACGTCTGCAATAGAGAGTGCTCATGCATTGCCGATTTAACAGTGGGATAGCCCTGAGCTCTCAAGGACTGAAGGGGAACGTGTCTCAAAGTCTGTGAGTGTGGGCATTGAGATTGAGCCAGCATGCTTGCTCCAAAAGACTTAATTAAGAGACACTTTGCATTTGCAAGTGGAAAGTGAATTGGAATTGAGTCACTATATTAAGTCATAAGAGAAAAAGTGCAGCAGTAAAATCATATTCTCAGACAACAGGACTTGTCTGCACGTGGCCGGAATTATCGTGATGCTGAATATTTCTGATAGTGTTAATAAAAATGAATTTAACTAAGAAATCACAACTGTTAAATGTGATCAAATATATCATGGTCACATTCCCATGTGTAATGTAAGTAAATCTGTTAATGCAGTTAAACCTCTGTGCGCCATCCTGTCCCTAGAGTAGTTCTAGGAGAACTCCTGTTAGAGTTAAATTGTTAAATGTTTGTCATTTTTATGTTTACCATTTGTACAGTGTTTTAACTCTGATGAAAGGAATTCCACTGTCCTTCCCCCCAGATTCCCGAGGTTCTGGTGGGGGGCTGTAATGTCTTATTGCAGATACATCCTATCTGGAAGATCTGCTTCTTTTGATGTAAGCTTCCTGCGTTTACGACCCTTTGGTCAGCAGGAGGTCTGACACACACACACACACACACACACACACACACACGCACACATTCTCACAGAAGTTCACACATGTACATAAAATGCTTTGTCTTAGAACCAAGGGGGCGTGGCTTTGTTCTGACGTGTTTTGTGTGAACTGTGTCTCAATAAAAAGGGCAGCAAGGGAGGTCGTCGTCGAGGTCATTTTCGTGGTGGACACAGGCCTCCCTTGCGCAAGTGTTTGATCGATCGACTGTCTTGTTTTCTTCATGATGAATAAGTCTCTAGAATTAGCGGGGCTTGTGGAAACACAGACCCAACAACTCCCACTTAGAGAAAGTCAAACCCCAAACTGTCATGATCCACCAGTGGATGTCCTGGGGTGTGGTGCCTGTTTACCAGTGGCCACCTGATCTTCACGCACACGCACATGTGGCTCATCACGGCTGACAAACACCAACCAAACTTAAGGCCTGGCTGGCGTGGTGTTCCTCACTGGAGTGTTGTACTTACTAGTGTTAGTGTAGCCCGGTTTAGTCTCTTGTTGTTCTCCCTGTGCTCCTGAGTGTTTCTCTGACGTCTGTCTCCATCTCCCTTGTGTAGACTTTCTGGGATCTGAACCTGTCTTTCCTGGACCCTTCCCAGTTGACCGTGAGTGAGAGTCCACCGTTGGAGTGGACGGTGTGGAATCTGGATTTGGACTGTACATAGTGGAGTGTGAGCGTGTGTTCCCCTTTTCCCAGGTCTGGACCTGCACTTGGAATCCTCTTTTCCCCGCCTCACTGTATAAATGTACAAACCCACTTGTTTGATTGCATAGTTCAGAGTTCTGCCTTTTGAGTTCAACGCCGGAAAACGTGACAAAAACTACAAAGCTTACAATCTGATTGGTCTCCTTTGGGTTTCCTGTATTAGCTGAAATGAAACCATGACGTCAGAACATCTGGTGAAGCTGATTCATAAAATGTACGCTGCCAACCGTTAACATTTTGGCTGTTTTGCATCTTGGGATTTTTTTCTTATAGTGCAAACATTTGTTATGAAGGGAGAAATTAACTGGTTTTTTTTCCAGGCTGTGAACCCCTCTTTTTACCCTCTAAAGAGGAGAATGTTAACATGCGAGTCTGCAAGAATTGACTCACTTCGGTAGCCAGCCTCAAGTGGCCAGCCGAGGAACCGCAGTTTTTCAGCACTCACAGCAGCTTGCTTCTTTTAGTCCTGCTGTTTGCAAATCGAAAGATGGAGCAGGTTTGCTCAACCAAAGACTAATATGATCACATTTTGTTGCACATGCTTGTTCAGTTGTTTCAGTTTTGTCACTTGAATTATGCTTCTTGCCATTACAACCTGAATGTAAAAACCTCATTTAGCCCTGTGTATAATTGTTGTAATTAAAAAGCATTGCCTTGGTGATTATAATCAGCTAATTATTGCTGTTGGAAAGGCAGTGAAGGGAGGTAGTAGGATCACACCTGTTCTCTCCAGAGAATGGAAAAAAGCTCAGCCTGTGTAAAAGAAGCCAGTGATGCAGACTCAGTAATGCTGAGTGTTGTCAGCACGGTCTGTAGAGTGAATCCACAAATTTTAGATTAGTGTCCATACACAAGAAATTTCATTTGCTTTAATGTCTCTTCATTTTTGTGCTAAAATAAGTGGATGTTTCTGAGCAGTGACCTGAACTCAAAGCAGTTAGACACAATATAATCACAGTCACCATGGCAACAGAATGGCCATTTGTGATGTTTCCACTGTCTTTATTATCCTCCATCGCTTTCTATCAATCCAATATTTTGTTCATCTTGTTATCCATGAGCACGCCACCGCCTGTGACTCCTGCCTCGTCTGTACATCTGCTGTGTTACAGTATGCATTTCGTGTACGTGAGCTCATCTGTGCAAATGTGAGTGTGTGTTTCTGTGAGACTGCCGATTTCAAGAAGCAGCACTGACTAATTTCTGGCTGTGTAATCTCTTCATTTTCAGCCCATAATAGCCACTTAAATTATAATGAGCAGGTTAACCTTTGCAGCTGTGCTTGTCCCAAGCTCGTTCAACTCAAATCCCGTGTCGGCTGGGCTCTTTTTGATTTCAAGCTCAGGTCCAACATTGGAAAAGTTTCTGTTTTTTGTTTTGTTTTGGTTTTTTTTTGGGGGGGGGGGGGGGGGGGTGCTCTATACAGCATACGTGCTATTATTTTCTTCAATCTTTGACTCTACTTTGTATTGTGAAGTTTTCTATTATTATTATTATTATTTTTTTTTTTTTAACTGAGCCGTCCTGTCATTTCAGATCCTGACATCCTGCCCTTGTGTGTTTTCCTTCTCTGTGATTACCTGCGATACACTAATTTGTATCACATGGATCTTAGTTACAGGTGTACCATCCTATTCCGAGTTGTCCCAGCTGCCTGGTTTTTTTGGGATAATAAAAAGCGTGATATTTTTTTTGTGTGTTTTTGAGTCGTATTTGAATCTGTCTTCCGTATTGACTTGTTACACTCGCTAAAATAATTTTAAAACTAAGAACATTTGCTAAAAATTAGTAAAATGTGCATCAAGTTTTATCTTATCATACAGCACCAATGTATCATCTGGGAGACCTCATGACGACAGAAACATTAGTATTTAAAGAAGCAGTAAGAAGCAAACTGACGCTTGGTAGCTACCAGCTTTTTGGCCCTCATTGGGAATGCTAGCACATAAACATAAGGGGCATTTTCCATATAGTGTTATTAAGATTGGAGGAACCAGTTGTTTATATGTGGAGTTATGGCTTTTTCAGGTGTTTTTGTAAGCAGCATTTGTATTTTCTGTCACAGCAACATGTGGGAGACGGTCTACTGACTCATGGAAGCCAGTTGCCCAACCACACTGCTGGATGCTTGAGGAGCTAATTGCAATCAGTGCACTGGTTATAGGAATGGCATTCCAGACACTGTGCGATCGTCACTGCCCTTTAGTATCCATTACACTCTTTATTTTTCACTCTGTATTGAGCTCTTCCAAAGCCATGTTAAAAAGTACCTCACACAACATAGCAAGCAGATCCTGAAAAGCTAACGTTAAGAAGGAAAAATTTAGCAGACTGTCACATGATTGGATGCTGCTTTGTTCTGGAAGATGTGCACTGAAGAGCATCTGTGGCTATTTGAATATACTGCTTACACCTGCCATCCCACGAGGACATCTTTGGTTCCCTGTTTGTGTTTTTTAATCCTCTAAATTCATGAGGCTCCAGCCAACCAGATGCCCAAGTGGAGAAAGGTAGAAGGAGAGAAAGCACAAAGCCTTTTTTGTTTTGGTGTATTTGTGTATACTATGTTGTGTAGAGATCAGGACAAAGAAGTCTTGGCAAAGTTTGACAGTAAACTTTATTGAATGAACAACCATGCTGACTGAACACGTCCACGATCACATCACAAACCCGGAATATCTCAGTCAGGGCCGTCGTCATAGCTCGAGGTTTGAAGCGAGGTGAAATTCAGTTCATGAGCTGTGTGTATATATATATAATTTTTTTTCCAACAATGCGACCTCGACTTCCAAAGTCACTTCTTGATATACGAGTGGAATGAAACGTAACAGAATATGGATGAGCTCAAAATGTCTGACTTCCTTCTTTTCTATCAGCGTCCCTGCTGCAGAGGCAGTTAAGTCCATCGTCGCGGTGATGAACACTCTTGTCTGTGACCTTTAGACTGGTGTTTGACAACCATGTACTGTGTCTAGTTATTAGCTCAGCGAGCTCACATCATCTAGAAGTCATTCAAATTCAAACACAGACAGTACTTATTACCTTGTTGAGATGTGAGTCGCTGTTGTGTGCGTGTGTGTGTGCATGCGTGTGTATTTTTGCAAGTTTTGAAGTGTCCTTTAAAAACCTTTCTCCTTCATCTCTACTTTGTTTTTTTCATTTTCATTTTTATTTATATCTTTTAGGTGTAAATCTATCCATCGCTCCTGATAACGTGAAACAGTGTGACATTATAGAGGACCTGGTGACCGTTGTTCCAGGTGTACAGTGCTCTCTCTCTGGGGTTGTAGTCCATCATGCTGATGTGGGAGTACTGGTTGTGGAAGGGGATGTCGGTGTATTCGTACGTGGAGGTGTTGGTGTGGTAGGCAAAGTGGACCTTTGCTCCGGCCAGATGGGAGTTGGTGACGTACAGGGTGCCGCAAATCATGAAAGCCTCCCCAGCACTCCGCTTAGGAAACCCCGTGTCCCAGCTGTGGAGGACTTCAAGCGAATGAGGGTCGAGGCGACTCACCTGGAGGCAGAGAGGACAGGGTTGGCAATGATGCCGTCTCACACGGTTGTGAATAAGCTGAGGTAAATCTGTAGCTGCAGAAATGGTGAAATTTGTTGAAAGCAGCATGTTTGTCGTAGATTGTACATGAGAGAGGACTTTTATTTTTTTGTTTTCTAAAGGGCCTCACAGTATCACAGACCGTCTGCATAAAAGATGGATGCAAACTGTGGGCTTGAAAAGAGAAGCCAAGGAGCCATAAACCTGTCTTCTTTCTGATGGAGGTGGATGAGAGAATGACCCTACATTTCAACTGATTCAGAAAACACTCAATCACTAGTTTCTGTCTTCACTGAAAACAGCACAATGTTCATTGGTGCATTATAAAGTAGATGATGGCGAGGATATGATTTAGGGCACAGCTAATTGCTAACTGTCTCCCCAAAACACAACTGTTGTGTCTTGTGAAGGGTGTTTTTTGTGAGCGTGTGGCTTTTTTGTCGATTTCTGTCGTTTGTTTTCATTGTATTTGTGTTTCATTGTATTTGTGTTTCATTGTATTTGTATTTGCTTTATTCAAATTCCACTGCATATCGTGTGCTTTTGCTGGATGTTTCTATTTGCTGGTGTTTTCTTAAGATCCAGTACCATACATAAGATCCTGGCTGTCACATGAATTTGATGTACAGCACAGCAGCTTCTTCTCTCTGTTTCAGTGTGCTAGTCATAACACTTAAATCAGTCAAAATTTGCTGTGTGCCAATGTGTCTCATGTGTCTCTGTGAAGGAAAGTTAGAGAAAACGGAGACAGACCATAATGTTTCCAGCGTTTGGGATGGAGGTGTAGACAGCCCAGAGTCCTGTCTCATCTGCCATGAGGTCGATGTCAGAGGATCCTCCCCAGCTGTAGGGGAAGGTGTTGTTGTATCCTGCACCGCTTAGGCTACGCTGGAGTAACACACTGCGAGAGCGGAAATGGTACTGAACCTAGAAAGACACACACACACGCATATGCACGTACATACACGTACAGCATCTCATTTTACTCGACCGTCAATCATCAGCATCAGCTGTTACTGATCGTGACCCAGTCTCGTACCAGGATGTTGCTCTGGTGCTTGTTGTAATAGAGAGACCCGTTGTAGACCACGTGGCCGGTTCCCGCCCAGGGGTGGGGTAACAGATGCTGCACGAAGTTTTGGCCTTTTGTGAAGTCCCCCATGGTCCTGTACTCTAGCACACGCCTGCCCTTATAGTAGCCATCCATCGACCACACCTGTTGGAGAGAAGGGAAAGGAACGCAGATGGCTCATCTATAGCCAGCTCGTAAAATGAACTCCTGCTGAGCAATAAATTCTGTTACGCTTTGAGAGTGATCCATCATGCCCCCCCCCACCCCCCTCCTGCTGTCCAACAAACTGATTAGATCACGACATAATGTACTCAGACTGTCGCAGTTGGATGCTGCAAACCTCAAGTCGGTCAAATCAAATAAAAGCAAAGGCAACAGTTTGGTATCACCCAGACCTTCAGGTGGGGAAGATAACAAACGCAGGTTCAGCAGGCCTGCCAAAGCTCTGGATTTGTCAGCATGCTGAAGTTGTGCGCATGAGGCCGCAGCAAGAGAGATGCTCAATATACAAAAGGTTATAGGGCTTTTCTTCAGCTGCTTTTCCTGCATCACAAATAGCAAAAAGTGTATGCAAGTCGGTTTTCAGTGAAGGTTGCTCACCAGAAATAACAAAACTGCTTTTTGTCTGCCTCCATCTAGGGAACGCCTGCTCCCCCCCCCTATCATATTCCTATTTCAGGACTAGACAGTGGAAGCAGTTTTGGCTATGCATTTCCACAGTGTATAACATTCCCGGAGATAATTAGCAGCAATAAATTCTGATCTATCCCAGGTATGGATGTTTGATGTCCACCTTTTTCCCACCTCCTCAATCAAGCTGACCTGAATTTAAATCACCGCCCGATGAGAAGTAAAAACCCAATAATCTTAGTGTAATGAGAAGAGCTGTAAATATAGGACAGTGGAAGAAGTTGTGGGGAGGGAGCAGAAGATGAAAAAGATCAGTGGTGAAACAAACGACCAGAGAAGAAATGGGATGGGTGGAAAATTGAGCGTCGGCAGCGTGGAGGATTAATTACCCGGGGAGGGGACGAGAGGTGAAGCAGATGAAAGAAAAGAGCAGAGAGCACTGGAAAGAGAGAGCATTGTTGGTGAAAAAGATGCTCGTTATCCCCCCCCCCCCCCCCGCAAAGACTGAAAAGTACTGAGGCCAGATAAAAAGAGGGGGGTGGGGAGGGGGCAGATGAAAAGGAACCTTTTTGTTAAGGGGAAAAAACCCTCTCCTGCAGTAGAACAGCAATTTTTTAAATTACAGTTCATTTGTAGCAACAATATTTAAAATTCACATTGAATTAGAGACTTTCAGACAAAGGTAACTGATTGCGGTTATTTTGAGGGCCTTCAATAACAGAGTTTAATTGAGACTCGGCTAGTGGTTTGAAAAGACAATGAAGCAGACTGATTGGCCTTTCCCGCTCCTTCCAGTGCGCTCTCTTCTCTCCTCCAAACACTGATGAAGCTTTCTCAGTTTTAATTCGCTTTTAAATAGGTTTCAAAGGAAGACGAGTCCCTTTGTTTATTGGCAGCTGTAATCTTCTCGTGTCTGAATGCACCATTTACTTTAAATAAACAAGCTCCAGATACTGATTATATAGCAAACGGTGCGCACGGAAAGTGACTTGGGATTTTGTTTTCTTCTTCTGCTTCTAGAGCTTACGTCTAAGTTTTACAAATTAGTGAGCTATTTTCTTTCTGCTCCCCTCCCGGCTGGCCTACTCACATATGCCCTTAAAGGATCAGTTGTATCCTATTACAGTATCCACATGCTGTGAAGTGATCCCTCCCCATTGTGACTACACTAAGGGGAAAGAATATCCACAGGTCCTGCAAATATTCATCCGGGAGCACGTCTGACATTTCAAGTGGGTCTCTTCATACTGACAGTCACATGTTGGTTTACATTAGTGGGTTGGACTGCATTTACAGGGCATTTTTAGCATGTAACTGATGCACTGATACATTATTGCCAGTAAAGGCACCGGTCTCAGCATCAGGTGCAATTTAGGGATCAGCATCTCTCACAAGGATACTCAAACATGAGGAGCCAGAGCTCGAATAAACACTGCTGTGATCAGTGGACTGATCCTACTCTGAAACTACTGCCAGTTAGCTTAGCTTAGCGGTTTGTAGCTTCATATAGAGTAGGCTCTTGTATTTATATTTTCTTAAGAGGGAAACATACAGTACTGTGCAAAAGTCACTCTCTTTTTAAAAATATTTTTCTAGAGAAATGGGAAATAGATACAGGGATTTATTGAATCATCTGAAAATATACATGGAAATATATATTTTCCATGTAAATTTGCTAGAGCCACTGCCTGAACTTTCATAGACAAAGTCTCTTCTTTAAGTAGTCTTAGAATATTTCTCCAGGCTTGTTAAAGGACATTCAAAGCTCTTTGGTTTTTTGCTGCCTTTTGTTTTGTTCTGTATCAAGATGATCCCACACGGCCACACGGATCCCACATAATGTTGAGGTCTGAGCTCTGGGGAGGCCGATCCATGACTGATAGTGTTATTGCGTGATATGGCATACCTCAACCTTTTCTCCTGTTCCTTTCTTTAAAAACAGCTTCTTGATACCAAACCTTTCACTGAGACCATTTCTGATGAGGCTTCAGTGAACAGTAGATGGATCAACTGAAGCCCCAGATGCATCTCTCAGGTCCTGTGTCAGGTCACTGCTGGATTATTTCCTGTTTCATAAGGATGTGAGTTCATCTCAATGGTTTTTAAGCCTGCTGATTATTCATTTGTTGCCTGTTATGTTTAGACAGAACTTCACCCCTTGGGTGAAAAAGCATCCAGTGTCCAAAGGAAACATTTGAAAGACCTTCAGAAAACCTGGAGAACTATTGCTCAAGACCACTTTTAAAAATTACTAGAATGTTTGGCTCCTTAGAGGGAAAATACAAGGAAACGAGGGGTGGCTTGAGACTTTAGCACAGTACTGGAAATACCAATACATTAGTTACACTACTAATACTGATGCATTACTTAAATTACTTACGCTATTTAAGTGAAAGGTCATTGATGCATTGTATTTATAGGACAACTAGACACAGGTAATTTGCAGAACTTGCCCATTGTTGGGCTCTTTACATCTTACCCTAACAACAATGAGCATATTTGCCAAAATGTCAGACTACTGCTTCACATTCAGCCCTAACTGTCTGACAAAAACGCAGCTCCTATTTAACCTGATCAACCCTGACAAATCAAAGGCCTGCAAGCAGAGGGCTACAGTAAATACCAGAGGGTTGTGCACTGAAAAAAAGGGATTGGCCAGCTCTTGGATTTACATAAGCATCTTGCGTGTATTTAACACAATTGCCTCATGCTTTAAAGTTAAGTGTAACTATATAGTGTAGAAACTACATGATATGCAGAGAGGCTAGATTAAATTGTTCATATCATGTTCAAGTGACGTAAGTCAATAATATATCAATGTTAAATCCCGTGACACTGCACAGGTTTCAGACTCGCGCTCTTTAGATCGTGGTTTCAGGAAGGCATCCATCTCAGTCAAGTCGAGCAGCCACCACTACTTTTTTTGGTATACCAAAAAAAGTAAATTGGGTGGTTGTTACATTAAAAAAGTCTAACTTGTAATTTGAACACAATAATTTCATGTTTCTATGAACGTAATTAAATCATGTAGGATTTGCATGGAATTCAAAAACTTAATTTGTTCTTGTTGAGACGACCTGATACAATCTAGTAAGAGTGGTTAGTTGCTGAACTCATGAAATTCACAAGATCGCACAAGATTTCAAACTGCAGGAAAATCACTGGAGTTATAAGAGGCAGAGAACTACACACACACCACGTGCATGCTATTGCTATTTATTGTGGATTAACCTGTCAAGGACAAAAACAAAAAAATTCTGCATCAAATACAGGAAATCATAGCTTTCCTGTGTTTCCTAGATTGTTGGCATGGTGGTTAGTGCTGTTGCTTCACAGTAAGAAGGTCCTGGGTTCAAATCCACATTCTGGCTAGTTTGCAGCTTTCTCTCTGGGTTTTCTGGTTTCCTCCCACAGTTAAAAGTCATGCAGTTATTAGAGTTAGGGTTAACTGGTGATTCTAAATTACCCGTAAGTGTAAATGGTTGTTTGTTTCTATGTGATAGACTGGTGAGGTGTCTAGGGTGTACCGTGCCTCGTAACCTATCATTTCAGGGTTATTTCCCAGCCCTCCTGCAACCCGGAGGATGGTAGTCATTGTAAATCCATTCAACTTTTATGGTAACCAGGATCTAGACTTTGTTGAACATTATGTAATATGAAGACAACATGTAGTATTTAAGTGACCAATAGTATTGGGGTAAAAGTTATTGAATAGTGTTGAAATAAAATGACAAAATTGTGAAGGATTAAAACATTTCAAGAGCTCAACTTACTCCATCTGAACATGTTTCAATCGCGTTTTAGAAACACAAAATGCACAGGTTTACTGAATATGAAAAAGTTGTGTTGATTTAACTCGGTTGTTTAATTTTCTGCCAAAGCAAAACATTTGTGTGCAACAAATGTCCATTATTGAATCAAGTAAATCCAACATGGCCTTTTTTTCAGTGTGAACCTGGCTCATCTTTAACCATATCTCAGTGTAATGTCATGTTAAGCACGCTTGAGCTTTGATGCAAACATAGTATTATATTCTAACCCTGTAATTTAATTCTGGCTTTAACAGGGAGGCGATGAAGAGAAGATAATCCAGGAGAAATGTGATCTCCTACTCTTGTTCCCTGTTAGCTCTCCTGCCGCTGCATTTTCGATCACCAGGAGGCTTTTCGGGGAGCTTTAAAGATAACTGTATAGCATAGAAATACAAAAACGAAGCCTAGAAGTAACAAATGCATTGAATTTCACCATCGCTTACAGAGCATCTTCCTAAAAACCCTCACCAAAAGAGGATCTACTGCAGCATTCACAGTGTAGTTTTCAGCAGGGTGAACCAGATCAACAACTACAATTCGAAGCTAATCGAAGAATTAACCCTGATTTAACCCACTGCTACTGGGGAATTATGCACTAAAATGCTTGACCTTTTCTTTTTCGCTTCTTCTTCTTCTGCTTTCTTTGGTTTCACATTTTTCACCTTCACCATCACCTCCCCGGCTCCCCTATTAGTCTCCCTC